CTGAAGTTTCTTCGTATTGACATGTATATACTCCTGCTTTTTTTCTATCAAAAAAATTGGTGTAATATTTATAAAACAATTACAATAGTCAATAAATACATCAGAGTGCTAATATAGTATTTTTCAAATAATTTAAAAGGTGTAAAAATACAAATTAAAAAAATCAAAAGAGATTTAACAAATTTTTGGGAAATTGTGTAAATTACTCTAAAAAAATACATAATTAGACCCAAATGGCCACTTAATCTTACTCACTAAAAAAACAAAAAAATTATATAAAAATATGTTTAGACAAATTTATTCACAAATATTTTTAGAAAAATATTTTTTTTATATATTAAAATTAGTTTATGTATAACTTAATTTACGTCTCAAGTTTTTTTTAAAATATTTTAAATCATGAATAACTTGATTGTAATTTATGAACAAATTATTTTATTTTCTCTTTTAATATATAATATCAAAAGTACAACATCTAAATTTACGAAATAATTTTAGTTGAATAACTTAACTTGCGAACCCTTTGGTTTGAAATTACGTTATCCATCAGGATCATTGATTGATTGGTTTGGTTTGAAATTTGGCACGTACTTTTCTTCTTCCTATCAATCTCTTTCCTAATTTGATGCTTCTCTTATCATCTTTAAGTGGATGAAAAATAATATAATTCTGTACCCATAAATTCAACGACCCATCATCGTTTTTAAATATAATAAAATAAAATCAGTCACAAAAACTTAATTTCTAAGTTGGGTTTCCTAATAGGTGGGGAATAAAGATTTTTTATTGAAATAGTGAGAATTTGACTTTTTTTTTTCATGTTAAAACATAATTATCATAATTAAAATAACAAATATAATTGATGAATAAGTAAATAAAACTAAGATAATATTGATAAACTTCTGAGTTACATAAAATACATACAAATCATATCCAAACACAAATCATCACAAAATAAATTATAAAACTTGAGGAATTTAAAAAACTATATTGAGTTTGAATATATGGAACTAATTAATAACATACCTTTCACTATATATATATATATATATATATATATATATATATATATATATATATATATATATATATATATATATATATATAGTTATTGAAATTATTCACCTTTGAATACCCACAAGACCATCCCTTATTCAAACTCACATTAAACTCATAAAAGGTTAAATTACTTTGGTTGATAACCAACTTTTTCATCAAACCACATCAATAATTTCAAAAGCTAAACACATATATACATAAAAATTTTCACAAAGGATTTTTTTCAATCATGATCATATCAAAGCAAATATTAAGAACTCTACTATCTTAATTTTAAAAACATTTAAAACAGCCCCACAATTAAGCCAAAACTCACAAAACCCTTGTTTTCCCAACAACCCTAATAAGAAGCATGCATGAACCTCATGGAGACAGAAATAGAATTAGAAAGTGAAGGAAAGAGGAAGGGGAAAGAACTTCAAGATAAAAAGGTTTCTCTAGATCTTCTATCTTGGCTAATTTTGAGGTTCAAATTTTTCAAAGAAAAATTATTTAGGTTCTGGAATTTTAAGAGAAAAGAAAAATGAAAGAAGTTTCTGCTTTATTTCAGATTGCTATTGGCACCCTTTTACTTACTAAGCTCGCCTCCATATATTTTTTTTCTCTTCCTTTTCCTTTATAGCCCAACAGCAAAACACTATTCTAACCCATTCCACTTAAATATACCATCTTCTATAATAAAATCTAAAACTATCTAATAAACATTTTTTTACACATTACCTTAATTTTCTAATATTTATTTCATTTTTTCTATTATTATATTGATTATTTTTCACAAAAATTGTGAGTTGTTAGGTTTTATCTCATTTTTATTTTTTTAATCATCATTTACATACCCAAATTTAGAATGGACGTTTAACATTTATCCATTTTTTATGGTCCCACTCGCAGTATTTGTAATTAAGACACATTCACCCTATGCTTATTATTTTGTTAATCATTGTAGCTTTAATAATAATAATAATAATAAGGATGACAGAATATTTTTTGTAGCATATACACATTTTAGAAAAAAAAATTGTCAATAACAAATGTTTTTACTATTGATTAATTTTTTTGAAATTTTATGATTTTAATTTCTTATTAAAATAATATTTTTTTGTTATTTTAAATAAATTTTAATAAACAATACATAGTGTATAAAAAAGTGTGTTAATAAAGTAATTGACAATATTGTTCTAAGAAAAATACGTGAACAAGTTACTTGTTGAAACTTTTTTAAGAATATCAAAGTTATAATTTACTAAATACATATTCTAAAGAACAAGAATTTTAAATTAGCCAAAGTTTCCTAGTATATACCTATTTGTTTATAATGTTTTAAGTGTATTTTAAAGTAGATGGAAGTATAACTTGCGAATTAAAAAATAATTGTAATATATAATTTCTTTAAAGTATTTAAAACTTCTTTTGTTTTTTCTTTTAAATTTTTTTATTACTTTTTACTCTCTCTCTTTCTCCTTTACTTTATTTATGTCCCAAACCAAATATGTTCCTAGTACTACCTTGTCAAAAACTATTTGGCCAATTAATAATTTTTATCGACCAAAATCCATTAAAGATATTACTTTTGTTATTAATTATTTTTATTTAATTATAATATTTTATATTAGTTATTATTTTATAGGTTATCAATTATTATATCTTGTCTCATTGTTATTTTTTGAATATTATATAAAGGAATCTAATTAGAGAGTAAACTTCTCCTTATAACTCATTCTCAATTATATCAATCTCTTGTCTAAAAGCTAACTTGAGCATTAGAGTGTCTTTTGAAGATGAGCTCCTCCCTGCGCACTCCCGGAGATCATCTTTAAAGCTGGTTCGAAAATCGGTCGATTAACTTCATTTTTCTGTCTAACCGACCATCTTCAGCTCGATGAATGTCTTATGGACCATCTTTCCCTTGGTAAGAACATTTGACACCCACCGTGGGGCCTCGAAGATCATCTTCAAAGTTGCTTCGAAGATCGGCCGACCGACTTCATCTTCCTATCTTACCAACCATTTTCAGCTCAACGAACGTCTTGTCAATCATCTTTCCCTCAGTAAGAATATTTGGCATTCACCATGGGGCCGAGAGTAGAGTCTCGTTCCACTCATACAAAACCGTGACGAGAGTCTCACATCACTTAGAAGTCGATACCAATGGTAGTTTAAATACATCTTCCTTCCTTAACCCATCGATGAGTCTTTTAAGGACAAAATCGTTACAGACGAGTGTCTCACATCACTTAAGAGTCGAGACTAATGGTAGTTTAAATACACCATCCTCCCTTAACCCATCGAGGTGCCTTTTAAGGACAAAACCGTGATAGACGAGAGTCCAACATCGCTTAGAAGTCGAGACCAATGATAGTTTAAATACACTCTCCTCCCTTAACCCATCGAGGCACCTTTTGAGGACAAATCCGTGACGGACGAGAGTCTCACATCACTTAGGAGTCGATACCAATAGTAGTTTAAATACACCCTCCTCCCTTAACCCATCGAGGAGTCTTTTAAGGACAAAATCGTGACAGACGAGTGTTCCACATCGACTTAGACAAAAATCGTGACAGACGAGTGTCCCATATCGCTTAGGAGTCAAGATCAATGGTAGTTTAAATACACCATGTCGAGATCAATGGTAGTTTAAATACACCATCCTCCTTTAACTCATCGAGATGTCTATTAAGAACAAAATTGTGACGAATGAGAGTCCCATATCGCTTCGAAATCGAGACCAATGATAATTTAAATACATACTCCTCCCTTAACCTATCGAGACACCTTTTAAAGATAAAATCGTGACGAACGAGAATTCTAAAACAAAATCTCTTGATCTTTAATCGGAACATTGGTGCACAGCATATGTCCGGTAAAAACATAAGGTATGAATGAATTTGTAAACTCTTCACAATGTGATCAAATGCTATTTAAACATAATATAAGAGTACTTTCAGATGTGTCTCTTTTCTGCATAATGTGACTTTTTAAAAACTTTTATGGCTTATTTTTATTTTTTTTTAAGAAAAAAACTTGTTTGATGGACTATAAAAAAATTTCTCCAAGTGAGAATCATAGATAAAAAGAAAAGGATTCTCTCAAAAAAGATGTCAAAACATTTCCTAGTTATAAATGTTTTTTTTTAAATACTTACTTTATAAATGATTATAAATATTTAATTGGTTTAAAATGAAAAAAAAATTCTCTAGTGTAAAATGTTTAGAAAATATTTTTTACAAGCAAAATAAGAATATATAATATAAATAGTTATAATTATAATAAATAATGATAAAGCACCACCTTTGAGTGAGTGTGAGTAGTTATTTTCTTCATATAGATATAATTGCGATATAAAAGTCCTTACATTATTAACTGATAACAATATTATGCTTTCAATTAACAAGAAAATTATTCCTAATATAATTTTTAAAACAAGCATTGCTACCATGCATAAGTTCGTATTGAAAGTAAACTTTGAATGCATATATTACACCTGCATGCAATCTCTCGGTACTTTTGATTCTGTTTCAACAATTAAATCAAAATTTCATTTCAATAATTTGCATAACAAAAATTTCAATTAAAAATCACATAAATACTAAGAGAAAATTATGATTCTAATTAACTAACACCACCACATCGGTTGTAACACAGTATCTACATTTTATTCTATTATTTATTCTTTCTTGAGATATCCTCCGATTATGATCACTGTGGAAAAATAAACTAATCAAATCAGATGGTGATAATTCATCCGCATGGAAGCAATAAATTTTTCTTATTATAAAGTGGACAAATTCATGGTCCCTAATTTTGTCAAGTATACCGTAACAACATTGGAACATGAAGCTAATAGACAAAAAAGACAAAATTCATTTGCAACACAAACTTCCTTCCTAATATCCATTTTCAATGGCTTTCAAAGTTCAAGGGCAGCACACTATTTATATCAGTCAATTTCGGCTTCCTCGCTTCTCCTTCGAATCAAGGTCCCTGAAATCAAACTTAGGTTCTTAATAGTATGAAATAAAGGATAAAGTACACTATATGACAAAACATAAAGCATAACTTCTACCTCTGAATGTGGTCAAGAATCAAAAGTCTAGGTCCAGGAGGAATCCTCACATCTCTGAGAGCACTGAAAGACATCATAGAGAAACAAAGCACTTATGCACCAATGCATGGCATAAACAAAATATATGACGAAAGGATGAAACCTGACACAAAATTGAACTTTTCTACCTGTCTGTGAGTAAAGGCAAAGTGTTGTCGGTTAACAAGCCTTTCTTAAAATTCTTCTCGTAACTCTGGAGGCCAAGATTGTTCAACATGTGTCTTGTTTTAGCATAGTGAGTATCTTCAACAGGTGGTTGGGAAAACTTTTGTCCTATCTGCAAAATTAATGAATAGTTGAAGATATGCTATTTAGGGGACACCAAATTATAAACCTGCATTACACACAGAAATCCATGGATCCAGGCAAGGACACCTCACCCAGACACAAAACCCTGTATGTTTACCAAATGGAAAACTAATCCATCATTTTTCTCACTGATAAAATGGAGGTACAAAACAACAAGAGACTTAAAAACCGTGAAAGAGGCATTAACTTTTCCTTCTTGCCTACCTGGAAAAGTCCACCTTGAACAAGTGCAAAGAAAAGTCCAGAAGTGACTGCGTTTGTTGCTTGATTTGGTCCACCCATGCCACTTACCAATGAAAACATGGCCCCCGAACCAAAAGCTGCCGCCATGCTGCAATAGATAATTAAATGGATTCTCAAAAGTTAAAGTATAATTATTATATAAGAAAGCACATTGGTTGTAATAAGGAAATAGCAAGCCAATATACTGAGCTGACCATTACACAATAGGAATTAAAAAATGAACAAAAGCGATCATTGGGTATAAAAATATTCAGTCACATGATCCACAAGCATTACGGAAAGACCTTAAAAGATAAATTTTTACCCTTCAACCACTTTCAACCAAGATATTGAAATTTCAAATTGAGGCCACATCTCAAAATTAGAATATGTTTTGATGGCTCTGAATTTGCCTTCATTTGAGAAACGTGGCGAGTTGACAACTTTGAACCATCTGTTTGAATATCCAGGAAATATCTCATAGTATCTTTAAAAGTATATTTAACGTACACTTGGCAGGCGTTTTTAGATTTTATTATATTTCCCTCATTTTCCCCAATAAATTCAGGGTTAGGAGTCTTACTCTATTAGTGGTTTTGGGAATGTACTTGTACAGTAGAACTACTTGTCATAAGAGTTTAAGTAAAAATAGGATCCTGGAGTCAGTATTTTGTAACATCTTACCTCATCATATTAGTCATATTCAGAGTTTCTGTCCAGATTTATCTCCGTCAACTTGTGCAATTTTTGTTTAACATACAAATTAATGTTTTTTTGGTAGAGAGGAGATGGAGGGAGAGTTCATTTTGTTTGTTTGGTTGAGGGAAAATATGGGAAAAAAAAAATAGGGGGACCTACTGTACTATTTCTCCATCTATTTCTGTTCATTTCTCTCTCTCTCTCTCTCCCCCCACCCCTATTTTCGATCAAATCATTCAAATTATACAACTTGCAAAACACTTTCTTTCTATTTCTACCTATTTCTCTTCCACTAAACAACTAAATATTCAATTTATTTCTTACCTATTTTTCTTTTCTCAACTTATTTTTTCTCTATTTCCATCCTATATTTCTTTCCTCAAAACCAAACAGGGAATAAAAGAAGTATAAACCTCATTCTGAAATAAAAATATTTTTACAAGGAAGATCACAGCTACACCCAGAAATTAATTATCATATAAAACCTTTTCATAATTTTTTTCGATTTTTAAAAGTTAAAATGTTTTATTTATCCTACGGGAATTAATGTAATTATAGATTCTGCAAATACACTCATAATGAAGCAGTTAAAATCACAGTAAAAGAGGAAAACTACATACATAATAAACTCATGCTTCAATGTAAAAAACCTTTTATTCTACAATTTCTTTTACTTCACTTAAATTTTCACAGTATTTTCTTTTGATAAAAATAATTATATGAAGAAATAAATTCTATTCTTCATTACCAGTAATAACTTTTATGGGGATTGGAAGAAAGATATTGAAGCAAAGAAACATATTTACATATGGCTTTTATTGAATTGGAAAAAATATATAACTGAGTATCAAGAGAAGCGTTTTGGAACACTTTGAAAATGAAAGATGTTCGTTTGACTTACATCTAAGCTAATAAAAGATATACTAGCTTGGCTAACTACTAGTGTAAAAACTCCAGCAGGTAAAACTAAGGAGTTTGTTATTGAGATAAGTGCAAATCAAAACTCAACCTTAAGTAGTTACTTGTTTGATCTAATCTTGAATGTATTACCAAGGACATACAGAAGATTATTCCTGAAAGCATATTTGTGGATGATTTAGTTTTGATAGAGAAATCAAGGAATCCCATTAACATTGAACTTGAACTTTGGGGAAAATCTTTGAAGATAAAGGATTTTCTCTTAAGGGTAAGAAAGTATATGATAAAATCGATGTGATGACCATACCAGAAATGTTATGATGCAAAATGATTATATGTGAAGAGATATTGATATGACACCAACTTAAGAAAAAAAATTCAAAAGTCAGTTCAAATGGTTTAGACAAGTACAAAGAAGACCACTAAAAGCACTAGTGTTGAGAGTAGATTGCATGATTTTTAGTAATGTGAAAAAGGAGAAAGGGAAACAAAAAGGACCATCAGTGGAATTTGCTTAAAGGGATTTCATGGTGAATAGTTACGTTCTTCCCATTGTTTTTTGTTGTTGTATTACTAAAAGCATGAATTCATGAATCCACCAACATATAAACTTCAAAACACTGTAGGAATAGAAAAAGAATATACATATAAAACTTATTTCAGTTAAGTAATGGACACTAATAGAAAGAAATTAAGCATTACAAGCCTCCATGCATAGCCCGAACTGCTCATGTCAATTTCCTTCTGTCTTAACAAAATCATGCATACAGTGTGACCAAAGTAAGATTTTATGGAGAAGCAGCTAAAAATTACTTCGAATTACTATCCATTTTCAACAGTACTTCGTCAATATATACATGAGTATAATAATTCATGAATCAAAAACCAAATGCTATAATCATTTAGACTAGGAACAGCACAGATCAATTATATTAAGTGAAACATGTAGCAGTCCGAATTTAGAGCAAGAAAAAAGGTAAAAAGTTCAATCACAAAACGGGATCCAGTATACAAAAACCACAAAAAGAAGTAAAAAATGTATTATTTGAGGCATAAAACTCACCTGGACTGGACATCTTCCTTCCCCCTCAACCTTTTCAAGACACAGGAAATTCCAGCATTCACTCCCGTCATCACAGCAAAGTTCCGGGCCTGAATAAGAGGACCTCCAGCTAGAGCCTGCATAATAATTAAGTAAAACCAAAAATTACACAAACATAGAATATAAAATAATAAATAACCTAAACCCTAAAACATTTTCCACTGCCGAATATTAATTAAAAGTAGACTAAAAGGAATAATAATAATAAATAGAGAGAGAAGGGGGCTGAATGAAAAGTAGAAAACACAACCTGAGCTTGTTTAAGAGAGGCCATGGCCTGAGGGTTCAGAGAGGCGTTCGGCGGAGGGGTGGGGAAGGCGGAGGGGGCATCAGCGGTGAGGGTGCCCATGAAGGCGCCGATGGCGGCACCCTGGGCGGCGCTGGTGGTGGTGACAATAGCGGCCTCGACGGGGAGAGACTGCTTGGAGAGCCAGAGTTTGAAGCCATTCTCCAACTCCTTGAAACGCGCTTGGACTTGCTCTAACGGATTCTGAGTCTGAGACGCCACCATAATTCCTTGCTTCCCTTGTTCCATCCAAGCACGACTATTTCGTTTTGATTCTGATAACGTTGTCTTCTATTTTATCACTATGTTCTCCTCCATTTTATAGTACCTACTCTCTAAGTTTTTCACCCTATTATTGAACGGTGTCGCTTTGTACCCAACTACCATCTGACTAATTCCTACTGCTAAATTATAAGCACCTACTCAAATTGTTAAACACTTTTTTTTTTTTTTTCTATTACTTCCTTTTTGTTGTTTCTTAATAATATATTTAAAAAAATCACAATTAGTTACAATTTTTTTTTCCTTTTTCTTTTACCTAAAATTCATATTTTAATTTAATACTCAATTATATATATATATATATATATATATATATTTTTTTTTTTTCTGATTCTCATGTAACTGCATCTTCAGGATTTTGTTCATAAAACTTTTACATTAAAAAGTATTTTGTTATACACACTAAAAATTCTAATAATTAGCTATTTTTATTTAAATTAATAAATCAATTCTTGAGACAGATACAAGCAAAACTAACCCTAAATATTTTATTTTATTCTATTTAGGTTATCCTATGCGTAGTCTATTTGGTTATTCCAATTCATTTGAATTTCCACAAAATTAAAATTTAATGATAGCGGATAGAGACTTTCATTTATTTTTTATTGCAATGTTGATCATTCATGTATTTTAAATTGGGTTAAAAAACTTTATCAAAGTTATTTAAAATTCTTTTAAAAAAAAAATTTAGGTTCTCAATAAATTTATAGTTTCTATTTTGGTTTTATTTTTATATATAAGATGATGAGTTATCCATAAATTAAGTGAGGAATATTTTAATTTAAATAAGCTTTTAACCATTAGATGTATTCTTTTTAAAAAGTATTTTGTTGAAAATAAAATAATTAATCAATGTAATGAAAGTAACGTCATTTTACTTCAAATAAAGTTTGAATTCCCTTTTTCTTTTTTCAAACTTCACTATTTTACAGTGAAATCTAAAAGAAGAAATATCGATAGTGAGATTTTTTTTTTTTTAATCTTGTTTAATTTTTATTGTCAAGTAGAACAAAGTACCCAAACTGAAGAAAACTAATATTGTTTTTACTACATTAAATAATTTGTTATTACAAAATAAATGTTAATATATATATATATATATATATATATATATATATATATATATATATATATATATATACATTAATCACACTCAAACAATAACATGACCACTTAATAAATAAGTCACTAGTTAAAAAAAATGATAATTAAAAGTAAAATTTGTAAATTTATTAAGAATAAAAAAATCATTCTAAATTTGGATAAGCCATTTATATTCCATGTAAAATTGTTTCCATTATGAAAGATTATTACATAGCTCTTTATTACCGATGTGAACCTAATTAATATTTTCTTCATATGTGAATAATTTAAATATTTTTTATGATGTGTAAAATATTTTAAATGCGAAAGATTTAAAAAACTTCAACCAGTATTATTATCCTTAAATTTTATGAGAAGCATGTTGATTAAACCAAATGATAAGAGCATATTGAATACTTATAATAGTATTAAAATATTTAATTCTATATATTAAAATAATTATATATTGAAAATATCCTAAGAGTCTTAGATAATAATTTTGAAAAAAGTAGTCTAGTTGTTAATTTTCTCTTAAGTTGGTCAACGTTTCTCTAATCCTTGCTTGGATACCTTAGGTGTGGTTTCTTTGACTTTGACCAAGTCAAAGTTTTGACAATTTCCTATCCGCATACATCTCATGTAATCTTAACCTAAGTGCCCGTCAATGGCCACCACTTCCAATAACACTTTTATTTCCTATGTAAAAAAGTAATAACAATTTTTTTTAAAGTAAAAAATATATCATATATAATTTTAAAATATGATTTTAAAAAAATATTAAATAGTTCATAAATATATACATATAATAACTTTATAAAAAAACAATATTTGTTCTTATATACTTCATATAGTATAAGTGTTTAATGAAAAAAAAAATCATCTTCGTTGTTTCTACTTCAATTATTATGCATTTGATTCATAGTTTCAAGTTTCAAATCTAATTCATAAAAGATTGATTCACGTAATACTTATTTACTTTTACTAAAAGTTGAAATTGAATTCAACTGGTTATTGTTCAATATTATTTTATTATCAAATTGTTGTCTTATACTGAAAATGCCAATGTTGTTTTTATATTGACTTACTATTTATTTTTATTTGTTTATGTTCATGTGTTTGAAAAATTATCAACAGTTGAAAATTGTCAGCTATAAAAATTGCGAAAACAAGGCTACACACTGAAATATACGACTTTTTTGTAGATATACTTTTATTATTCATATTAAAAAAGGCATTTACGAAGAAATTGCGAAAGAGTTTTGTCAAACTATGAATAAAAATATAATCTCAATATATATTTTTGTTTGTATGCGTATTTTTCCATCAAAATAATTATATTTACTTTAATTTTATATGATATAATGTATTGTTTTTCATTCCACTATATTTGAAATAATTATTATTTGATTGTTAATTTTACTTGCTATGTAATAATTATTGTTTCCTAATAATTTTTTTAGTTATTCTTGTAATAAAATGTGTTTTTTTAATATTTTCTTAAACTATTTAATATATTTGACGAGATATTGGGAGGATAGGTGGTTGAGTGACTTTAAATTAAAAAACTATTTTTCTTAGATTATATTCATTTGTTTTCGATCCCTATTCGATTGTAGTGTAGAATTGTCATTGGTATGGAGAGAATTGGGTGTGGGGCATTCCTTAGTGTCGTCTTCCCTTCTCATTTAAGTTGTCATTGGTAGCGAGTTTGATGAAAATTCTAGATGGATTTGTGTTGCGTCCTCACCTGGAGGATCACTGGTGTTGGTTGATTAATGCTTCAGGGTTATATTCTGTTAAGTCTGCTTATTATTGGCTGTTGACTCTGCTGGTTAATATTTCGTCTCTTGATGTTAATTTTCAGGAGGTGTTGTACAGACTTTGGAAAGATAAAGTACCTATCAAATGCTTAGTGTTTTCTTGACAGTTTTTCTTGAATTTTGTTGCCTGCAAGTTGCTTCTGCAAGGGTGTGGTGTGCAGTTGGATTCTGTTTTGTATCATATGTACAGTTTATTTGTAGAAGATTCGATGCATCTTTTTATGTATTGTCCAGTGGTATATAGTACGTGAATGAATATTTTTTGCTGGCTTGGTGTTAATTTTGTTATGTCTTCTTCTTTAGTGTCCTTTTTTTTCTTGTTTGGTGTGACCAATGGAGAAGTAATAAGTGATCCCAGTACTTTGTTATTATTTAGGTTATGGTTATCTAGTTCATTTAGTTGCACTGGAACTGTGTGATCTTTAATTAAGGTGTTGTGGATCGGTTGGAGTTGATTGACTCTATTTGTCTGTATTCTTGGAAGTAGATCTCTTCAACTGGTACGTCGTCTTTTAACCTTGTAGACTGATATAATAATTCTTGAATCTGCATTGTTTAATGTGCTTCTTAAGTATTTCATATTTTTTTTTAATGATATTTATATGTTTTATATTATATTCTGATTTTGGATTGTGGGTATCCTTAATTGATTTTATTTACTTCTAAAAAAAATTGAATTAGTCGAGTAAGAAAGCAACAATCTCATATTTAATATAAAGTATTGTTATACTCGTCAAATTTTATATCGTTTAAATATTAATTTCAAAAAATAAATAATATCTCAATCAAGAGATATTTTATATTAAACATGAGGCATAACCCTCTTCAAACACATAAATACTTAAAAAATATTAATTATTCATATGTTTGAATTTTGCTATTTTGGAGTTGGAAAAAAAATAATAATTAATGGAGGCGTTTTTGACCGTTAGTTGGTACTTATTAATTGTTTAACTGAAAAGAGTCTTACAACATTCATGGGCTTGGATTGAATTGACATACTTTGTAAAGATGATGATGAGTACATTGAATGTTAATGGTGACAAAATCATATATAGGGATCTTAATACTTCATTCTAGATTGTTAGTGTTAAATTAACCTGTTTAATGTCAACATATTATATTGTTTTTAATTGTTATAATAATATATAATAATATTAAGATGTATTCCTCCTAATTTTGTATTCCCAACAATTGTAAAATATTACTTGTTGTTAATTTTTTACATTATTATTTGGAAAACAGTTATTTCTAAATGTATTTTTATATATATGAAAATCCGACCATGAAATATCCTAATTCGTTTAATTGAATATAATAAAAATATATAACATATATTTATTTATTTTCTTTATTCCAGCATGCTAACGTTTTCGATATATATATATATATATATATATATATATATATATATATATATATATATATATATTGGTTGTAAGAAGATAATATCTTATCAATATAAATGTGTTTTAAATATAATATTTAAAATTATTTTCACTTTTATTCAGGGCTAATAATGTTTAGACTTCAAAAATATTGTTATTTCACCAATTTAATTATTACATAATATTATACAGGGATTATTATCATTTAAGTAATTACTATTCACACACAATTAGCTATTATTTTGTATAACAGTAATTATTATTCCTAGGACGACAAAATTCATCTACAGATACTTCAAAAATAGTAATAATATTATTTATATTTTATTTTATTGTAGCAATTTACTCTTTAAGTTAATATACTTGAGGGATGATTCGGACAAATATACCTTATTTAGATACATGTATTGATATGAATTTGTAATAATTTATGTGTAGGTCTCACAGTTGAAAACCTTTTATTAAAGTTAAAAAATACTTGGATTTATAATAAAAGTACGATCAATTGTTCAAAAATATCTTCTGCATGATGTGATTCACTTAAGTGAAAATACAGGTATTCTTTTTACCTGAATAATAATATTATATTTTATTTCAATGTTATTTAATTATTGTATTTAATGTAAAACAAAAAATTAGAAAATTATTGTATAATTGTGTATTATATGTAGGGTTATAAGAAAATTTAGAACGATAGAGTATGTTATATCTGTTGAAGTTAGAATTACAAAATTATTATTATTATATTTATTTACCTGTGAACTAATTAAATTTGTTAAAATATTTTGATCAGACTTTAAGAATTATTTATATAATAAACAGGAAACATTTCTTGAAGTTGAAAATAAAATATTTATTGATTTATTTTTGACATAATTGATGATATCCAAAATATTTAATATGATATTTGTTAAGGATATACTTGATTATATTTAAATATGATAATTGATTTGAACGAACCTACTTAGTTCAAGAATCTAAAATGAGAATCTAAATCAAACTAATAAATTATTTTTAATCTAATTAGACATCTAGAGCTTATTCAATAACTGATTCAACAAAAGAGTAAACAAAATTTAAATTACACCTTAATAGATTTAGTACATACACTAATATTTTACAAATATTAAATACACCTTAATTTAAATCTCAAACATTAACGTTATTTCTTTGTGTTGAAACGACGAGTCGTTGGGAATTGGGAGAAGCATAACAATTCAGACTTGGGTTTGGCCAGAAAGAAAGTTCCCGCTCTCGCTCTGGGTTGGCGGCAGCTGCAGGAGCAGCAGTGAAGGTATGCAGGAATCAGCATATCAACATTTCTTCCTCCCAGATTTCAGCTAAATATGTTCTTCTTATTGTCGATACTCGCGGGTTTTGTTCCCGCCTACAACATGTTCGATCATTTGTTTCACTGAAAATGGATACTTCCAATTCGTTTTTCTATTCAGGGACCAAACCCATTTTTCGCTTGACATTCATCCATGAAATGAGCAGTTCAAGGGAGAGCTCCCCGGATTGGTTGCGTACTTTTCAGGTATCACTTCATGGCCATTCAATTCGCTTACCAACTTCCCCTCTCCTGTGTTTTTTTTTTGCCATGTTCCTTGTTCAATTGCAACCTTGAATTTTAACATCAGTTCCTTGTGCCTCTGCCAACACCACACCTTGCTTTCTTCCTAGCTTCTTACATCTTTGCTTGTTGAACAAAAATTGTTGACTAGGTGCCGTCTCATTCCCCTTTGACACTGTCCTCTGATTCTGGGTCTTTACGGGATGGCGGATCTCGGAATGAGGATAAAACCGATGATGAAGGCTCTTCTCCAAAATCTTCCCAATCTTTGAAGGTCACCGGGAGTAAGAGAAAAACACCAGTGAGTCCTGAAGTTGAAGATCAAACACCATCCAAAAGAAAGAGATTGGACAGGAAAAAGACCAAAGAAGGTACATTTGAGATTTGATCAGCGCTTTGGTGTACTGTCCATATGATTATGTACTTTTCCGTAAGTATTTATAAGAGCAGAAAATAAGAAGAAAATATGAAATAAAATTTTCCATAAGCTAAAACTAACTTAAGCATCAGTGTAGAGGTTTTCTCATATTAGTTTTTCCTAAAGGTTATTTTGAATTATGTACGTATTTATAACCTAGTTTTAACTTATTGAGAAATTTATTTTATATTTTTTCTCTAATAAGTTTTTATGGAGAAATTTATCTAAACAGGTTTTGGTTTCTTAGTCCAGGGGATTAGTAACATAATATTTACACATGTATAATCAAAACAAAAATCAACTTTCATACAGTTTAAGAATTTTAATTAAAAAAAAAAACAGGAGTATTGGGATGTGAGAGTCGTTTCTGACTTTTAACTCAATTGTCATTTTGTCATTTGTTATTGTGATCCAGTAAGCAAAGAGGAAAAGAAGTCAGTGAATGAATCAAACATGGACAAGCATATAGAGCATAAAGTAAGAGCTTTGTCTTCTCCTCTTTAATTGTCAGGGCAGATTCATAGATTTAGAAGAAGAAAGAAACAAATTCTGTGCTTTAACATATTTTTTGTACCTTGACTTGAGATTCTGTCTTTGAACATCGTAGATGCTTCTGGCACCTCAAAATTTCTCATCTAGTTTAATTAGTTTTCTTGATGCAATGATTGTCTTCTATCATAAAGCCGTATTTGGCCTGCTACTTATTTGCGATTGCTGTTAATATCAAACATTTTTGCATAGGAATCTATTCATTCAGTTTGGACACTATCATCAGATTCCGAGTCGCTCCATGATCATAGCCCAAAAAGAGAAGATCATACTGATCAGGTGGAAAGTTCTCAGCACCAACTATCAGGGGCAGAAGATAGTGCAGATGGACTTGTTTTTGGTAAGGATGGAAAGGTTCCATCCAAAAATGGTTCAAAAGAGAAGTCTTCACAAAAACAAATAGATGAAGACAGTCAGACACCAGTTAAAGGGAAGAAAATAAAGGGCAGTGCAAAGGAAAAAGGTAGTGGTGGAGATGTGAATGTTGAAGAGGAAGAAACTTGTGAAAAGCTTGCTGAATCAGATGTAAGAACTGATAAGGTTAGAATAACTGCCAAAAAATGTTTCACAGACTTCAAAACTTGTATAAGTATTAACTGTAAGGTCACACTGATTTTCTTTTTCTAGTCTGGTATCTTGACTTGTGCTTGTTATATGTAAGTTGCAGGTTTCCTCCACCAGGTTGCCTTTGATGCTTTCTGAAAAAGTCCATCGTACAAAGGTTTGGTGACAAATTTATGCTATGGGTTTTCTTTACTGTCTGTTCTGTCATGTAATTGTAAGGACCATGTTTTATTGATATTAATGGGACAATCAATTGTGTATCAGAGGTTTCACTTTCAAAAATAAATAATTTTTTTGTGAAAAGAAAAGTTGCTAGTTTGGTTTCTAGTTATGTTTTGAGTTGACAGATCGTAGCTTGTAAAAAAAATTTCATGTTGTATCTTTAGTATTGATTTTAATTTCCCTCTTAATTCTTATTCACGATAAAAGGGAATGGGTTTGACAGAGAGATTTTCTTTTATTGCAGGCACTCATTGAGTGTCAAGGTGACTCCATAGATCTTAGTGGTGATGTCGGTGCTGTTGGACGGATTATAGTTTCGGATTCAACATCTGGTGATCAGGAAATGTATTTAGACTTGAAAGGTATTTAGTTTGTTTTTTTTTTTTTCTGATTAATACACAAATTGTAGAGAGAGTAGGGGTGTTTGTGGTGCGATGGTTCGATTTTGCATTAAAAAGTCACTTAAAACAAACATAAAATTTAAATGCCATTCAGTTTGATTTGATTTTCATTTAAAAAAAATTAAAATCAAACTAAATCAATATTTTACGGATTGGTTTGAGTGTTTTTTTAATTATAAATTTGTTAAATATATTATAATAAAATAATTGTTCAATAAAGAAATGAATTATAAAAACATCATGCATAATCAATTCTGATATTCATAATTTCAATTTGTTTTCGTATGCTTCCACGTTCAATTTAAAAAATAATAATACATATCTTAAATTATAAAAACTAATTGGTCAAGTGTCATTTTATGTTTTAATTTTTTAACAATATATAGTATAGTTTCGGTTTTGTTTGGGTTGTTTTCTGATTGGTTTTAAAAAATTTCAATAAAAAAAATCTCAAAATTAAGTTTTGATCAGTTTTTGGTTTATTTTTGGATTGGTTCGGTTTTGAACATTCCTAATAGAGAGAAAAAGAGTTAAAGATTTACTTTTCATTTTCACCGTTCATTTTTTGTAATCTAGTGATTAAAATGAGTTATTATTTTAGATCATTGGATTACCAAAAAAAATGAAGAGTATATCTCTTGATCAACACTCTAGCATGCATGTTTGCAGAACCATAATACAGCTAAACTATTTTAGATCTATTCTTATTAGTACATATTGGGTTTCCATGAAATATTGACCTTGCTCCGTGTTTTCAATAATGTAAACTTCAGGTGAGCCATAATTGCCTTTTTTTCATTCATAGGTGGTTTAGGTATCTATGGGAAAGAGTTATGGAAGGCCTAGCAAGAACTCAAATTGAGCTGAGCTCTTTAAGCTTGGGCTTGTTTTGGGAAAATGGCTTAAGCTTGACTTGTTTGTAACGAGCCTAATTGAAAGATTAAGTTTGATTTGTTAAAAATAATTATGTTTGAGCTTAACTTGTTAAGTCTTGAGTTTTTAAAGCTTCAGCTCGGCTCATTTAAATAATCAACCATAATCTCAAGTTTGGGTTTGCTTATTTAACTAAGCAAAGGATCCTGAAAGAATAATTAACAAGTTGAGTCCGAATAATTAACAAGTAGTTTTGCTCATTTATACCCTTAAGGGTAACCGAATCAGTAGAAGAAGAGGAGGATGAGGAAAACTATGGGCAAAATAATTAAGTAGGATATACAAGTTAATAATTGTTCTAAAAACATAATTTCCATTTTCTTCGATGTTGAGACAGTACTTTTACTTGATTGTGACCAGCGATGAGCTGCATCTGATGGTTCAAATTTTGTTCATCTTTCCAGGAACAATATACAAAACATCAATAGTTCCTTGCCGGACATTTTGCGTTGTATGTGAAGTGATCTGTATTTAATCATTGGAAGTTTTTATTGGGACAATGGCGTTGTAGCTAATTTTTCTTTTTTAAGATACCATATCTTCTCTTTTATAAATATATGATATCCTTCAAATATTGCTTTCAGATGCGCTTGTATTTTTTTATTTTTTTTTCAGGTTAGCTTTGGACAGTCTGAGGCAAAGGTCTGTTGGTTATCTAGTATCTACTTATTTACTATCTTTCTCTACAATTAGTGCTTTATTTGGTTAGTTAAATGCCCGTATTTGGTTTAGATTTTAATTTATTTTATATTGAACGTTCTTACTCAAAAGTTATTTTAATCAGCCCTGCCAAGGATTTTGAAAAGTATAAGCTGTCATTTAACTTGCAATTTATTTGTCAGATTGAGGCCATCATGAATGACTTCATACAGCTGAAGCCACAGTTTAACGTATATGAAGCGGAAACTATGGTTGAAGGTTATTTGCATCTGCCAACTAATGTTGCCTTTATATCCTGCATTAATTCCTTTCCTCACATCTATTCATTTCCTATGAGAAGGGACACTGGATGGTTTCTTCTTTGATTCGGATGAGGAGGCTGGTAAGATGCAGAAATCAACTAACCAAACTGATCAAAATGAGAACGGTGAGGAACAAGCTAATGGTAAATCCAAAGGGAAGGCTGACAAAACAGCAGTAAGTTTCGTGATAGTCATTCTTGGTTTTAGATTTCTGCTTAGTGAATGAAAATACTGGTTCATGATGCATACTTAATTGCTGGATATCTGGATACAGGCTGTAGAAAAGAAAAGAGGTAGAAGTACAGGAGGAAAACCACAAGCAAAGATAGCAAAGAAAAAAACTCCAGGTTCCAAAAGGGCAAAGACCAAGAAATAAGTCTGTAATTTCTTGTATGTCATGAACTAGTGTAACTCAACCCTTGGATTAAAATTAGAGATGCTGAATTTATTTGCCATGACAGAGATGGTGATATTAGAAAACTTGCACTTAGAGTTCTTTTCAAAACCCCCATACTGTAGAATTGAAAGCTTATAATCTGTAGAATGAGTTCTAAGAAATTCCTTATGATGTTTTTTTTGGGCCTGTTTCAAATATTACTTATTGTAGTTTCTTTTCCAGTGAATATCATTTATCTTTTCTTTTAATTGATCTGCATTAGCCGGATATTATGATCAAGAAGGGCACTTTGTTCACTAGATTTCTGCAGAACATGTACTATAGAATGAGAGAATGAATTTGAGGATCCTGGTTACATTGTTTCCTTCTTAACATTTATTTTGCAAGATTTAAAAGCTATCTCGAGAGAATATTGAGTAGACTGGAATTATGACTGGATGCTGTGTCAATGAAATTCATTAGTTCTTAACAAGCTCCTTGTTTACTGGAGCTTTACAAGTGTACTTTCTGAATCATTTGTTTGCAGATGGTTCTTCTAGTGTAATATTTCTGGGGTTTATCATTTCCATCGTATTGATTGGGCCGTGAGGATCTCTTTTCAGATTTTAAGTTATATCACTAGCCGTGTCTTGCAAATGCCAACAAAGTAAGAGTGAGAACCAAGAGAAATATTGGCGCTGGAAAGGGTAATGAAATATTTGATGAGGAAGTGACCTGCTGATGCTTCCAATAGGGCTGTCTAATTGGTGGAGGAGGAGATGCAACATTTGGTCTTCTCGTCCTGTTTGGAAATGAAAATTGTTAGTTATGGTCCTTTTTCTCTCTTGAAAGTATGGCAAATTGGCAATGAATTGAAAGGGAAAGGAAATTTATTGAATGAGTGAGATGATGTAGAGTGTGTACCCGTTGCTATTGGGACAGAAAACAATATCATACTCATATGCTTTGCAAGTGAAAGTGCTGGTGCCATCGTCAAATGCATAGCTATATGCTCTTGGGCAAGCCTTCTTGAATAGGGTTGAATAATATGAAGGCTGGCATGTATTTGGATTTGCAAATTCTCCACTGCAGCAATACTTATCCAACTTGAATGCCTCACAAGCACTCCTACACCCGACCACCCGTTGGTTTTGGTCACCTAATACTTGAAGTTCTGTTGGGCAACCTGTACCATTGTATTATTTTAATTGTATGAGGTACCCTTGTGATTTCTTCTGTTATTTAAATACCTAATTACATAGTTATGCTTTAAATAAGCTCTTACCTCTGTTAATATCAGTAATACAACCTGTGGCATTACATGCACCACCATATACACCTCGTGGTAGAGCTAGCAATGGCAAATTGTAGCCATCTACCATACTTACATCATAGTAGTCTTGTCCGTTGCCTGCACCAAGTGTTATCTCAAACAGTGAGGTAGGAGGAGCAGCACCGTTTCCCTCACATTGCAGCCTTCCTCCACAGTCACCTGTTTGGCATTTGCCAACTCCTGTTGCATCAAATTTACAACCAGTCCTTGCCCATATCCGTCCTGACCAACCTGAGACAGTCGTAAGTTTGATGCTTTGACCCATCTCCAACCGGAATCCTGTTGTTGCAAGTGGAGTACTCCCTGAACCTGCAAGTGTACCAGGCCATATAGTATGTGGACAGCTGTTGATGATGGTGAATGTGTATGAGAAAGAACAGGAGAAGAATGTAAAGAGAACGAGTAAACTGGTTAGTTTCCTGGACGTTGTCATAATCAAGGATTATTGTCGTTGGTACATTGAGCCTAAGAAAATATAGGGGTTGTTTATGATGGCCAAGGGAATGGACAATGCCTCTAAGATTTGTAATTTATAATATTCTGAAGGATTGAGTTGTGTGCTAAATAAGTTATGCATTACAACAGGCAAACAGTTACGTTGCTTTCATGAAATCCTCAGCCACAAGATCAGCTTTATGGGTTTAGTATTTCTTTTATTGCGGATGGCCTCATCTAGAAGCAATTCTTTGCTTTTGTTATTGCATGTGAAGTTGAACAAATCTGGAATTCTTAGTGACCCGACCGTTAAATCATTAATTTCTTCAAAGAATCGTTGCAGAAAATCTGAGACTACTTTGCAAGAAGTTGAATGGGTATCATAAAAAAAGGAGCCAGGATTCCTCCTGAAGAAACTAGACTAGGCGTTAGAGGGAGCATCAGATAATTGGCATATCATATACGTGAACTTTTGAGGAAGCATAAGCAGATTTTTCAAAAGGAAAATTGACCCACAAGCTTGCTCAAGTATGCTAGTCATGCATGGAATACCCAATGCGTAATTTTAAAAATATAAATAACTATTGATTATAAGATTACATAAATATAAATATTTATTTTATAAAAAATTTAGTAAGCACAATTATTCATTGATTATCAGAACATTCAATAGGTGTAGAATTATTCAAGCAACTCATCAAATTTACTCCTGAAATATTTTTAACTCCTCCCCAACTAAACGTGAATTTCATCACTTTTAAGTATCATTTTATAAAGAAAATTACTTCCACGTTGATAAGAAGACCATCTTAACTTGTTAGGAAGTTATTTCCTATGATACAGAAAGTAGAGTTTTCTGAGTATAATAACTTGTTAGGAAGTAATGACAACTCTTTTAAAATGCAGAGTGCTCTAAGAATAAAGTATAAAGTAATAACTGTGTCGAAAAAGTATAATTTCATAATTAAATTATATAGTGCATATATTTTCAATAATACTTTTTTTTGTTGAATGGGTGGTTATCATCCAATAATTTACCATTTAAAGTGCGTCTCACATTTTTATAAAAAGCCAAATCTCCAAAGAAAGGGATTGCTGAAATGGAAATGATTTGCCAACCAATCAGGTACCACGTTGCTTTCAAGATAAACATGAGTTCTTCATCTGCCACTGCCAAGGCTTCTTCAAGAAATCACGAACTTAGAAAAAAATTGGACGATAATGATGCCAACTTAGATAGCCAGTTAGTTAGTTACCACGAAATCCACAACTTCCAACCACAATTTATCTAACAACTAATCGGTATTGGTGAAACCTCTCATAAGAAATCTTGATGTTTGTGAAGTGAAAATTCTGTACCACTCTTTATACTAATTGTCTTTATTGTCAAAACTAGTTGTTATAGATAAAAGAAATGAGTTAAAAAAACAAGTTAAATAAATGAGTAAAAACAGTTAAAATAAGAGTGAAAGTTTTTTTTTTTATTGAATAAAATAAAGAAAAAAAATTAAAATTAGGTAAGAGAAGTAGTACTGTGAATTTCATGCCTTTTTTTTTTCCTATCTCACCAAACAATCTACATTAATTTCATCTTCTCACCCAGATATAATTAAAAAAGAAAAACAGAACTAAGATTGACAATCCCAAATTTCATTAATAACTGTAAGGTGTTACACAAAGTGCCAAAAGAGAGAAAAGATATGCTGCCTACTTGCATTCAAATATAATGATACAAACTTACAGTCTGCCTAGAATAAAAGAAAAAATCTTGAAAAATTAAAATTAATCAAGCCTGAGATGAAGAGTTTATTTCATATTTCAAATAAAGGGAAAATCACTTTAACGTCCAATATAGAGCACAAGTCACTTTAGTTTGTTCAATCAAAATGTCACTGTCCACAGGTAAGAGATGATTGAGTGGAAGACAAATTCATCTGGTCATATAACACAAACTTCAAACTGTATTGAAATTGAGCATGCCGATTTTTTCAACTTTCCGTATTGTGTCTTCATCATCCACCAAAACTTGTTCAGAGCATCATTTCATAACTGTCCTTTGCTCAACTCTTACATCCATTCCGTACAAGCTGATTAATCTCATCATAACCCGTTACTTACAGTTCCATAATTGTTGTCTAAACTTCAGCAGAGGTTAATCTGAGTATGACTAGCATCGAAGCTTGTACCTACAAGAAAACAAGAAGACAAATGTCAATATTTCATCTTCTAGCATAGTGCAATTCCATACTAAAATATGTCATTAAGTATTGCAAAACAAATGTTTTGAATGCTCCATGGTAGCACAAGCTTCAAAACCTGCACAAGTCACATTAAACTCAAGACAGCCAGATATCAGTTAATTCATGGAACGAATAAAAGATAATCAAAGATGAATCAGTGAAAATGTGGACTATCATCTCCGTTGAGTCTGCAAAAGAACAAGAAATTAGGCAGCAAAATCAAAACAATTAGTTTTCACATGCACAGCAACTTTGTCCATGTGAGGAACTGAAGAGAACCTGAGCTTACAGAAAGTCAAGGCAGTCAACATAACCATGAATAAGGTTATCAGCCTAAGAGATAAGATTGATAATCATGTCCTGCTCTAATGGATTTGAGGGAAATAAAAGGAGAAGAATAATACAACTCAGAAGAAGTAGTCTTAGTAATGAGCACACTAATACTAGAATGGCGCTGCCCTGCGATTACAGAAACACTAGAAACTTCACAGCAGGCCAGAAAAGGTTAAAAGTTAAGTACATCGCAAAGCACACCATTCAGATCCAACGGTCTGCTTCTCAACAAGGTCAGCAACAGAAACTGAAGTCAATTCAGATTTCATAACCATCTGAATACTAAATAGAGCCTGCTCAAATCCCCATTCAACAGTCAAACTACATTACATTGATACTAGAAATATAAGGAGTTCCTACAATAGATGAACAATCATGTCCACCAATAAGTAATCCATATAATTGTTCAAGTTCCGTTATTCATACTCATCCGATAGAAAAAGTCGAAAAAAGGACAAGTGAAATGATAAAACAGTTTTTCCAGTTATATAGTATATATCTAGCTCATATCCATGCCATCTCCAACTTGGCTGCAGATAGGACTGACAGCAGAGAAAGATCTCTCAAAGGGAGAAGGATGGATTTGGGCATCCCCTCGTCTACGCTTAAAACCACAGCTTTCGGTAGGTGAATTCTCCGCCGCATCATGCTTCCTTCGAACACCTCTCACGGCCTGTTCCTCTGCCGGTGTAAGGGGGAAAATTTGACCACTAGCTCGACAAAGGGAGCTGTGGTTGTCATACAGAATTCTCTGGTTACAGTTTTTATCACAGATGTGAGTGAGCCCAGTTAGCTTGCAGCGATACATGTTTCCACAAACATGTTCATTTTGACATTTCCAGTCGCATTTGTGACCAGGAATTGGACCATCTCGGCCCAAAATACTCGACAGAAAAATAACATTTGCAGGACCTGCAACCATAGATTTGCCATATACCTCCATTCCTTCAGTCAAGACAGCAAGCAACTCCTAAGTAATCTTAACACACTCCAACTTCAAGGCCTTTGCCTGAATTCTGCATGGCCCACCACAACAACACACATTTCAGTCAAACTCAACAAAATTTATCTGCTGGCTACAAACATATATAACAACTGACACACTCTATAACCAAAACCAACCACCCTTAACTCTTTCTCAAGGGTCTTTCAATATTATCTTATTCCCACTCACAAAACTCCACGGATATTTGTGAACAGCCGTTGACCAGAAATGATCAAATTAGACCTCACAAAACGCAAATCTGGAATCTAATTGGTGAACAAAATTACATGTTCAACTGCTCCACCTACCTTTGACAAACCGTAACAACACAAACGACGTTTATTGTAGGCAGAAACAAACACTCCCATGCGACAGATCTAAACCATGCCCAAGTGGGATTTCCAAAACAACAGACAACACGACAACCAACACACGCGCTCTGTTAAAAACCAAAAATCCAAAATTTTGCTTCATATTTTCCGTCCCACGCATCAAAGTTGTTTGACACATACATACAACGCCTTTAAATAATAATAAAAATAATGAACTGAGAATTTAATTTAGAATTACTCACACGTTAACGAGCTAAGTGAAGCACAGAGAAAAAGTCTTCGTCGTCCTTCCTACAAAAAGAAAAAGAGAAAACAACAAAAAAGAAAAAGGAGTATTCTCTCTCTCTCTGAAACTCACCGCAGAACCTATGCTAAGAACGTGAAATTAAACAAGGAAATAGCGGAAGGAGTGGGGTATTTATAGAAACTTGGCGCTGAATGCTGATGGTGGTGACTTCAACTTGTGGGGTTGACGCCCCACATAGGACAAAACACACGCAAATCAAAATGCAAACCAAATGCAACCCAAATTTTCCTCAAATGTAATTTCGCCCCCACTTTACCTACAATTCTGGATAAACCTAACGGATCCAACGCTCTTCTTTTTCTTGAGTTTTTATTTTAATTTAATAATTCCATGTGCTCAACGGTTATCTCTCTCTCATCAATGGCTTACGCTTATCCTTCACACTTTTAACGTTTCAATTTACTAAACCAAATGGATTAAGTTAAGAGACCTTATCCTGTGTACACACTTGACACGTGTAAGCACCACCGTCTTCCCCGGCTTATGTATTCTGGGCTTCTTTCATCGGCCAGGCCCATGACCCGAATTCTACTCTTCGGTCCTTCTCTAGGGTTTGCTTGCGGCGTTTCAAATTGCCTCCATTTGTGTTTGCGGGCGTTGCTCTGAGGTCTGGAATTACCAGGTTGACTTTTGCTTGACGGAAATGAAATGTTTAACGGATGAACTTTGAACATTTTTTTCAGTAATGTTTCGCTCTCTTTATAACTTTGAATCATTTTATTTTCTGCTTTGATTTTTCTTTGATCCTAGCTGTTGTTTTGCTTTCTGTTACGATCAAATGTCATGTGTAAGGGAGAAGTGAGTTAAGTGGACTGAATTTGACTTTAGAACTACTAAGTGAGACTAACATTATTTTATAGAGGCTTATTTTCCCCCTCTTTTTTACATTTGTAGTTAATCTGCCAAAAGAATATAGAATTCATAACTGGATTATTATAGAGGTCTGTTTGAATAAACTTTTCTGTTAAGAGTTATAACATAAGAAAATAAGATAAGTTTTTTATGCTGTACCCTATTTTCAATAGTTTTTATCTCATGAGCATAGATCAGTTCTGATAGTGCAAAAGAGTTTTGTCATAATTCATAATCCTCAGTTGATATGATCACAGTAAACTTTAGCATTTAGTCATTCATTCAGTAGGCATCATGCATTTTTATTTGACTTTGCAGCTCTATGGTAAACAATTGTCTCTTAAGAGTCTTCATTGTTACAAGTCTTGGTCCTGTAAGCAAGAAGGGGATGTTGGTTTCCAGATGAAAGGTTGAAAACTGTCCTTCCTGTTTCCAAACTGAACAAAAATCAGTCAACAAGGAAGCAGGAGTATGGTTTTCACTAATGAATTTCATCCACTAGCACTTGTTGGTCCTTCTTGGTAGACGACTGAGGACTATCTAATTAGATGAGCATTGCATGCTTAGTTAGATGAGCAAGATGTAGGGGTTAACTTTGCAATCCCAACTTTCTCACCCTTGAAGTTGAAAGTAAATATATCAAGGGGAAGGCTACTTGGGCATTATTAGGTTATTCAAGCATTTGAAGGTAAAAATTGTAGTTTGCTATTAGGTCACCTCGGGCATTTTTTAATTCTCTTTATTTGTTTGTTTTTCTTTGTACCATGGTTGAAACAAAAAAAAAAAGTGTAAAAGTCTGTCACTGATTTAGTTATGCCATTTATTTCGATGAGTTTCTGCATGAATCAGAATTTTCTTATATGGTATCTTAGTAACCATTGTAGAGAAGATAGAGCACAACCATAACATTTGATTTGTAGTTTTTACTTCATCAAAGATAACTAAATATGATAGCTAGTAAGTTGACTTCGATAATGGCTTCATTTGATCGATAGGAAGAGAATTTTAGTCTTGTGTTATTCACTTCATTCAGGAAAGTTCATAAAATTGATTGCATTAGAAAGAAAAACTATTTCTGTGGTCCTGCTGATCAATCTGGACAACTCTGCCTTTTCCATACTGCGGTGGGAGCAGCAGTTAATGCATGGACTTGTTCTCCGTGTTACTGTGCATCTTGTTGGCGTGTTTTTCTGTTGACGGTTAATTTTTATAAATATTTTAAAATAGAAAATAAGATGAATATTAGATTTAAGCATGAACAGATAAGTATTAGTCATCTCAAATTCTATGGCTGAATTTCATTATAACATCAATTAAACGCTCTTTAGATTTGATTGGGAACACTACAGCATCGCTTTGCTAAAATAAACAAGATTAGATTCCCTTTGTAAATCTTGCCTAGCCATTATTGTAGATCTATTTAAATATTTAAATGATATCTAAAAATTATAAAATCTGAAAAAAAAAGAAATGTAAATAGAAAGTTCACATAAAAATGAAGATTTTGAATTTTTCAATGTTAATAAATACAGTATTGCACTATTTACTTAAGATTGATTCTTTCATATGAAGTGAATTAAAGCATACGCTCAAAACGTTACAATTCAAAATTTATCACTCTAAAAATTATTTGACTATATTTGATAACTCAAATATGAATCTCACAATTGGGTCTATAGAGATATTTTTTTCAGATACTACAAATTTTATTTCGTAATAATTTTTTAATGGAGATGGATTTTTATCTATTTATATTAATATTAATAAATTATAAAACACAAAAGTTAAAGACAAAAACATTTGGAGTAAATATATCTCTTCTATCTTTTTTTCTTCTATTTTTTTTTCTTTTTGATGTGTAACACGTGATATAGTTTTAATTTATTTTTATATATTTTTAATGGAAATCTAATTTTATATATTGTAATTTTTTTAATAATTGTAATATTTTAATTAACACTATAAATCTAAACTTATTTTGTATTAAGAGATATTCTCAAGTAAATGTTTGTATTTAAAACTCAATCCATTCAAACACGGCTCCACCAAAATTTATTTACAAAATCAAATTGATTGGCATCTAATAATAATATTATTACATTTAGCAAATTTAAGTTCATGATTAATAATCAGGAGGATGTTCGTGGTTAAGTTACCATGAACCTCAATTTTTATTTTTATTTTTGTCAAATATTTTTAAATATTTGAATTTAATGATTTATTAAGTTTGTATAAACGCAAATAAAGTATTATATATATATATATATATATATATATATATATATATATATAATTTTGAGTTTATTTATTTTTTTCATAAATATTAAAATAAATAATTAAATAAATCAGATCAATATTGATTATATTTTTTCTCACGTTTTCATAGTTTCTTGTTCATTAAGTATTATATATCATTTTAACCTCTAAAATTATTGATAAGTATCTACCATTCTTAATAATGATATTTAGATATGTTGAATTAAAAAAAATGTTGATTTTTTTTTTCAAAATCAAAATGAATAATTTAAAAATATATATATTTATTTAGATAAGTAGTATAAAAAGCAAATCTTGGCAAAGAACAACGTAATAACCTTACTAAAAATTATAGTATATTAATACTTTTCATTAAATCATGAAATTGAAGAATTAAATTTTTATTTAAATTTAATGAGCACAATAATTTTGATCTCATTCTTTCATTTTTTTTCACTTGAATAATAATAATAATAAAAATGAATAAATAAATTTAAACAAAAATAAAAAATAGATTTTAATCTTATCTCTCGTATTATTTGAACATTGTCCTTCGTGTGAGAACACCATACCTATCCTTCATGTGACAATGCTAAATGTGTGACGTGGTTGTGGCCTGCTGACTAACCCTAGCACAAGATGGTGAAGATTCGTATGAACATCATTGATGTTGTCGCGGAGGTCAAATGCCTCTGACACCTCATCAAAATGCGTTGCTCCAACGTCTACAATCTCACTCGAAGGTAATACCTCCCTTTTCATTTTTCATTCCTTTAAAAAACATAATAAAGCATAAACATAAAAATATTTATTAATCTCCAACCATTGTTTTGGAACAAAGCTTCTCTAAAACATTTCTTAGTTTCCAAACTTTTAACTACCTAACACTGATGGTATAATATACTGAAGAAGAGAACAGATTTGGTGACCTTGAAGCATAGAGCATAAGCGATATTTATAAAGCACTGACCATCACAGAGTTCTAAACCACAACTGAAGATCGTAAAACTGTTAGATAATAGGTTTCTGAAAATGGAGCACTTTGTGTAAATTATGGGATAATCGTTAGATCATTGGATAATCATTAGATCATGAGATGATTAGATGATGGATTGTGAAACATTTTTCCTCTTGGTCCATTTATTCCATTACCAATCTCAAGAGAAACTAAGTATATGAATCAGGGTGAAAGGTCATCTAATAATGAGTATTATCTCTCATGTATCACAATATATTAAGTCTCTCATAAAATGCTCTTTAATATTAATAAATAAACCTTATGTTTATTCTAGGTCAAACTAATGATATTTCTAAAAAAATAAATAAATATGTGCACAAATAAATGAGAAATCATCAAACTGAATGAAAGTTTTATAAAATTACAAATTATCATATAATATAGAACTAAGTCCCATTTTTTGTTACATGACCCTTAAAATTAAGGATCAATAATCATCAACTCAGTACTAACATGTTTAATTACCACTACTCTTATTGTTCTTAGCCATAAATAACGCATCAAAGTTGGTCATAATATAACTTCAATGACCTAACAATTGAGTCCACATCTCTAAGTTCAGATATAAAACTCTTCAACCATACACCATGTGAAGTAGCCTCAAAACAAAAAAACAAACTCAGCCTCCATAGTGGAAGTAGTAATCTAGTCAATGTCTGATTTTTATTGCTCCAAGATACAACTCATAAACTAGCATAAAAATGTAACCAGATGTGGATTTTCTGGTATCAACGCAGTTAGCAAAGTCTGAGTTAGATAGCCTGTCACCTTTAAACTATCAATCCATTTGTATTTGAGCATGAAATCTTTTTTTCTTTGAAGGTATCTCATTATTTTCTTTGCAGCTTTCTAGTGGTCAACACCTGAATTACTCTGATATCTTCCCAAAACCCCAACTACAAATGCAATGTTTGATCTGGTGCAGACCCGAACATATATAAGACTTCCAACAACTTAAGCATATGGGACATTCTTCATGTGTTCCCTCTCAAAATCATTTTTCGGACAATAACCCAATTCAAGCTTATCACCCTTCACAATGAGAGCCACACTCAGTAAGCAATATTTAATGTTAAACCTCTCTAGAACCTTATTGATACAAGCCTCTTGAGATAAACCAAAAACACCTCGAGATCATTAGTTGAAAGCAAAATGTCATTCACATATAAAACAAGAAAGCAAATTTTGCTCCCACTAACCTTTTGGTATACACATTGATCCATGATGTTTTCCTCAAAACCAAATGAAGAAATAACTTCATAAAATTTTAAATACCATTGGCGTGAAACTTGTTTTAATCCATAGATCGATTTATTAAGCTTACATACTAAGTGTTCACCATCACTAGAGAAGAATCCTTCAGGTTATTTCATATATACCTCTTCTTCTAGATCACCATTAAGGAAGGTCATTTTTACATCCATTTGATGTAACTCAAAATCAAAATGAGTTACTACTGCCATGATTACCCTTAAGGAATCCTTCTTAAATATAGGAGAAAATGTTTCCTTATAATCGATTTCTTTTTCTTGAATGAACTCTTTGGTA